TGTCTGATTGCAACAAATTCAGAAAAAGTCTGAAAGTTACATGATGACGAGGATATTTATCAGTCGCTTATAAGCAGCTGAACAAATTTCAGGGTAAATTTTGAAACTCTGTGTGGCATAAATGATATATTTATAAATACTTTTGTAAGAACTTGATATTCAGGGGATTGATGGTGGATAACTATTAATTGATATTGATTATTACTTATGATTCAATGGCGAGTGAAATTATTTGTTCATGATGTCTGATTGTAGGTTAGAGGAATTAGATCTTCATGATAAGTTCTAGAGAGAGAGAGAGAGAGAGAGAGAGAGAGAGAGAGAGAGAGAGAGAGAGAGAGAGCATGATGATACCGATAAGACATGAGAGTTAAATGCTGACAGAGGATAAAGAGGATAATTGAAGGTGATAGTTGATGAGTTTACAATTAAAAAGGTAAGAAAAGAAAGAGTGAGATGAAGATGAATAGCAATTAATGAGCAGGTCAAATGGTGAGTAAAGAGGGAGAAATGTTGGTGAAGAAGATGAAGATAAACATGTTGTCGAACTGATTACCTTTAAACAAAATGAACATTTGGATTATTCGAAAAGAAACTTGAAAGGAATTAGCGAAAAGAACTTGAAAATGGAGAAAAGGTGAAGAAAGTATTAGGTACCTTCTTATCTTCCTCTTCTTCTTTCATTATTCTTATCCAGTTTATCACAAATCGAGTGAAGAAAATGATAGAGAACAAGGAAAGAAAAGTTCATTTGGCTGAAGAAAAGAGAGAGACAGAGATAAAGTTTATCGAAAACAACAAACAGTAATTATTGTAGTTCCATTGTATCATATACTCAAAGAGAATACACAAAAAGAGAAAGGAAAAGTTCTGGTTTGATTTTTATCCCAAACTTTTTTTTCTCAAGCAACAGAAAATCAACTTCCTTTTTCATTATTCTACTTCCGCTTTCAAAACTTAATCTTCTAAGATAACGTAAACCATTTAATCTGATCATTCATCATTCTAGTTGAAACTTTAAGCGTTTATAATAGCAAAAATTACGATGGTAATTGATCAGTTGCGAAGAGTCAATATCACGAACATAAGATTAATCAGTTTTTCTTGGTTAATATTTACAGAATTCATAATATCAATAGTTGATTATCATACGATGTTGAAATTTCATTTCATGAGAAAAACTAAAGATAAATGTGTAATCCAATTTGTTAATTTTGCTTCAATAGTTTCACTGCTTATAAATGTAATGATAATTTTGAGACTTGGGACTCACTGTGTTATCAAAGGTTGTGGTTTCTCCGTGGGTACAACGATGTAAGGTCCGTCGGGTCCAACTGGTAATGCGACATCAATTGATCTTGACCGTTGAGCTTTGACCGGTGGAAGTTCACAAATACCAATCTCAGGTCTTTGGGGAACTTGTAGATAAGATCCATCAACGGAAGCCGAGCGACCTGATTTGGTACGAATAGGAACTTCAAGAGATATAACTGTTAATCCGGTGTCTTCTTCGAGTAAAGGTTTTTCAATTTCCGGGGCTAAACTTAGAATCACTGTTGGTAATCCTTCAATTTCCGCTGTTCCTGAGTTACTTATTGCATCGTCATCTTCCGGCTCACCAGTTGATGAGGTTCGAGTGCCAATGGCAACAGATTCACTGTCTGACTCTTCCTCACACAATGAGCCTTCAGATGATATTGAATTTGCACTTGAAACTGGAGGTGAGGCTTTGGTCATTTTGGCAAGTTCAAGGGTCAACTGACAGTGGATACAATCCCGTTCATAGGAGAGTCCAGATGAGCTTGATGAGGCTGGTGATTTACGAACCAGCATCCGCCATTTTGGAAGCTCGAGAAAGGTGTTTATTGCCTTATGATAAGGTTTCTTAGCCTTTTGTTCAGCTGCTTCACGAGCAGCTGCGGCTGCAGCCGCTGAATCAAATGATCGAGATCTTCCAGATCGACTTGGTGAATTGGTGGATAAAAATTGATTAGTTGCATCGGAGATTGAATTTGATTGTACGTTAAGAGAAAAGTGAACACTTAAATTACTATGAGCACTTAAAAGATCACCACTGCTCGAGGTGTTTGTCGGAGTCGTAGGATGGTAAGAGGAAGGAGGGGAAACGGAAAGGGAAGCAGAGGGAAAATGGGTATCAGATTCGGGAGTTGTTGCTACATCCTCACTACGAGACGATCGAGGAACCATTCGAACTGTTTCAAAGGTAACCTCATCTCGGCGCTCTGAAAGTGGAGATAATGTCGACGGTGAACCGACTCGACTTAAACCCGATCCAAGGTTAGAACCTAAATTTAAAAATCCCGGTGGTACTTCTGAAGTTAATTTTGTTGGTGATGAAGGTGCAAGTAGATTTTGATAGTTTGATTGATGAGAATGATGATAATTAGCAGATGAACTTGTTGGCACTTGTTGATTTTTCGGCCCTGATGATGGATCTAAGGTTGACTCACGTGAAGATGATGATGATTTACGTAAACTATCCTTAATCCTTTGCATCATGGATGATATGGTAAATGAACCAATCTTGAAGATTGAAATCTACTGAAAGGGTTGAAAGGATAAGACAGACTGACCACAGGCTAATCTAAATCTTTTATCCCTTTTTTCACTTATCCTTTTTCACCTTGACACTTATGATAAAAAATTTACTTCTCTTTTCTTTTTTTTTATTATTTCGTCTTGTCTGTTGACTTTCTATTCACATATTGAAACAAATCGAAAACTTTTCATATGAAACATTACCTGTTCTGTTGTTATAAACTGAGAATGTTCAGACTGAATGAAATGGAAGAGAGAATCGAACAGAAAAAACGCAAGAGAACTTTCAACATGATGACGAAGATGATTGTAAGAGTAACGATCAACAGAGATGAGAGAGAAAACGAAAGACCGAGAAAGAAAGAGAGAGAGAGAGAAAGAAAGAAAAACAGAGAGGCAAATAGAGAAAGAGAGACAAAACCAAAAGGAATGTCAGAGTGAGCGGGACATAGGGTGAGAAAGAGAGAGAATAAGAGAGTGAGAGAGGTGGGAGATCCATAGGAAAGGTAATATCCTCTGATTCAAATTTTCTGATACTGTATCTTTCAAATGCTCAATCCTTTCGGAACATTCAACATGGTGACATCTCTTGTTACTCAGTTAAACCACAGAATTGAACAAGAAAACTACAACACAAAAGATATTCAGAAAAAAACTGATGAACATTAAACTCTTTCTGTCTCCTTATGGATTAGATTAACAACACTTATAACAATACATATTAATCCATTGACTTTGAGGGTCACCAAACATTAATCTCATACAAATGATGTGAGAATGAAATTTTCACTCTCTAATTGAGATTAATTACCAAGGTTATTCAATGACTTTAAACCTTAAGTCTAAATTAATCTAAAGATTAAAAGTCAATCACGTTTAATGAATGTGAAAATAGACAAATGATTAGAAGCAGATAATCAAATCAGATTAATTTTCTAATCTTGTCATTTTTTTGCCCATCAAATTATCAAATCGTATTGTAATAAAGTGACCAGTTTAAATGATTGATTTACCGGTTAGTTAAACTGGTTAATTGATTAGAAAGCCTTTGGTAATGTGATTGTTGATTAGACTAATCAACTTGCAATAAATAACCAGAAATTCAGATAAATGTTTAATTGTTTGAAGTTTATCGATCTCAGGGGATAGTTAATGAGTTCCCATTTAATCATTAGAGCTCAGAATTAATTAGATCGATTTTCATGGTAAGAGAAATGAAATTTTAAAGAAACATTGTTATTAAATGAAGAAGTTTGGAAGACGAGGAAAAAAAGAAATGAATAAGTTCTTAATTTGGTTAATCAATAATTAATTTGATCCAATTGAATGTTGAACATGGAGACATCTCTTGGTGTTCAGTTCAACTAATGAATTGAATTTATATCTGATTCGATTAATCGAGGTAGAATAATCTAAATCTGTGAGTATTATTAGAATTTGAGTTTTGATTCATAGATCGATCTTGACTTTGAATGTGTCATGTTATTAACGAATAGATTTTTCCTCTCTCGGCATATTCGAGTTACCGAATCGATTATCGATCAGAACTTTAATTTTACCCATGAAAAATGAGATATCATGAACGAAAGGCAAACAAGAGAATCATCATTATTTGTTTCCCAGTTATCATCTGGCTTCAAGCTAATGAAATAACTCAGGGTAACAAGATGATAAGATATAATCTGATGAGAAGAGGAAAAGTTCATTGTTGATATAAAATACCATTTGTATCATGAAGAAGAACGTTTTATGAAGGTGACAACCGATTTACCGATTTTCATGATAAAAATCTGTCAATTCTTCAAATAATGAGAAAACTTCGATTTATTCTATGTAATTCCAAATGTGTGGCTCACAGTTTGAGGGGATAAGTACAATACGACAATTCTGATTCTCCGAGATTATATTTTAATCATTTTCATGTTAAATCTTCATCCTTATGATAACCTAAATCTTATCAAGGTTATCACTTAAATCTAGTTATATAAAATTCATAATGAACTTAATCATGAGGCTCAACTATATTGAGAGAGAGAGAGAGAAGCTAAGAATTCTGATAATTGAAAGAAAGAGAAATTCTTTCTCAAAGGAATCTGAGTCTCTCTACATGATAAGAATACGGAATCTTTGTCAATGTCTTTGAAAAGTTATGAACGAAAAAAAAATAAAAACTTTTTCTTTTTCGTTATCAATAAACTTAATCAAATTTATCTCTCTTTCTCTTTCTTTTCCTTTTTTTCTCTCTCTCTCTCTCTCTCTCTCTCTCTAACTTTCTGATTAATACCATGATATTTTTTTCTCTCATGATTTCCAATCATGATTATTGCTCTGATAAACTCTACTCTCAACAATCAGATTAAATGATAACAATGGTAAAAGGCAACAATTGTTTATTCACGTCTGTTGATTGCTACCGTTTACTGGAATTGAGGATAAATCAATTGATAGGAAAACCTCATGATGTGATAATTTATTTATAACATTGAGATTCAGTATATTCATAACAATAATAATAATGATAATATATTAATAATAACAGGAATTGTTATTATTTTCAGCATTGAACTTGTAATATTATTATTTTTGCTGATCGATTCCAACTATGTAAAGTTACTGCCCCACTTTTTACTCCCTCTTTACCTTAACCTCATCATCATCATCATCCTAATGATTCCGAGTATGAAATATTCTGGTGCCAAATCAATAATCATGGTGAAAATATTATAATACATTTAGAGACTATGAATTATAAGAAAAATTTATAAAAGAATAGAGCAGAAAATAAGATCAATTGAGGTAAACACATGAAGCTGATTCATTTGATGATGAGAGATGAGCACCATGGTGTTAGACATCATGGTGGAAGATAAATTGACATCATTCCTAGAGATTGTAAGAGAGAGAAAGAGAGAAAGAGAGAGATTATAATGAATAAAATTGTTCCACCTGAGAAAAAGTGATTTTCATGGTTACGAATATTTTACATTTTATCATAAAATTTTTCTGTCTTCTTTTTACCTGCTCTTTTTTACATACTCTGATTTCTGTTCATATGAATACTTCAATTTCTCATTCTCATAACTCGGTGAATTCGGTGAAAAAAGAAAAGGTTCAATTTCTTGTTATCATCTAAGAGCAGAAAAAACTTTTGCTTTTCTTTTCTTTTCTTTTCAAGCTCATCTCTGATCATTTAGAAGGTTAATCTTTCATTCTGATGGAGATTTTTCATTTCTTTCTACCTTTTCACTTTCAGAAAAGTCCTTAGAACTTTTCTCTCTCTCTCTTAAATTTCTTTTATATATAAAAAGTTATCATGTTTGTTTTTCTTTTCTGTGATTGGAAAATCAAAGAAAAGGGTTCGAATTGTAAATCTATCTCCTTTTTCTTTGCCTTCTAAACAGGCAAAAGATGAAATTGGAAAATAACTCCTGCTGATTTGTTTTCGCGAAAATTGTATCATGTCAAATATTCAAGGAAAAGTTTTCGATCAGATTGAGTTAGTTTCATACAACTTTTTAAAAAAAATTCCCAATAATCATTTACCATTAGATAGACAGGTAGATACACCATTTAAACCATTCAACTGTGATAGTCAATTGTCTACCTCTAACTTGATTCAGCTACTTATAAAATCATGCTAATAATCATCTTGAGATAAAAGCTCATGTTCATCAGTCATGATGATTGACGATTTCATCAATGTTGAGAGTACATATCATTAGGGAGATACAGGAGCAATTAAAAAGCAAGTTAATTAGATTACATTTCATCATTAACATGTTGATGATGATTTTAGCTTTCTTTACCTATCATGATTTGGAATGATATAAATTCTGATATTATTACTGAAATACGATTCTAATAAAGATATCAAACAGAATCGTCTGAGAAAAAAAAACTCTCAGCTGATATTACTATTAATATTATTAATGATAAGTTGATGTTTCCAATGGAAAATAACAGAAAGAGAGAGAAAAGGAAAAAAAGTTTCATCTCATTTCACCAGGTAGACATTAAACTAATGAGGATGACAAAGATGACGATGATTATTATAATACAAGTACAATGATCATCGTCATGATGATTCAGTGAACCATGATGATAATGATTTCACATTCATTTCAACCTATTCAACTTCTAGGTTTTAACAATTATAATATACATATATTTACAGAGAAACCTTTTTCCAATGTCAAATAATAATAACAAAAAGTAATCAAACCAAATCAAGGAAACCCTTTTTCTTTATCCAATTAAATTGCTGCTAATCAAATTAAATTAACGGTGTAATTACATTTAATTGGCAAGTGTAATCAAGAAACAAGAGGAAGAGAGTTAGAGAAAGGGAGGGAAAAATATCAACAAGATTTGTTTTTTATCATGAAACTAAACCAAAGTTCAGTAATGAGAAAAAATTGAAAAGTAAACATTGTTAACTGAATGAAATTTTTTCCTAGATAATATTTACATTCTCGGAATTTAATATATATAAATATTATTATTATTATATGATGGTGTCAATTGTATTGAAATTGATCAATTTGTTTTCTATTTCGTTACCATGATTCATGAACCTGAAATTTTGAGTGAATTTTTCGGAATAAAAATAATTCCTTTCTTGCATCACCAAGATAGAGTCACGTTCATCTTTAATCAAATAGTGTTCTAGAATCGTCCAACCATAGACATGTTAATGTAACCTCTCCTTGGATAATAATTTGTATTATCAGTAATCGACCTAAAACTGAGATATTATATTTATAACCATTTTTCTTTTGTTAAATATCTCATTCAATCTTCATGAAATGATTCTGAATCTATTGGAATTGACGATAAATTGAAGAAAAAAAAAGGGTAACGAATAGAATATGAGGAGGAAAAAGTTGATATTCGAACATGATCATTTCATTTAACGGGATAAAAAGAGTGGGAGGAAATATAAAGTCACGCAAGAGAAAAAAGTGAGAGCATGATGACGAGGATAAGGAAAGAAGAAAATTCTTATCAAAGGCTAGATTTACCGATAGTATCAAATAGAATGTTCTAAATATATTTATATATCTTAGTAAAATTTCTGAGAAAGAGCTCAAGTTGACATGATATCAAAATTTATCATGAATTTTAATCGCTTGAGTTATATGTAGCCTCTTTTTTTGTTCATCTCGATTTTTGCCCTAGTGAAATTATTCTTCCATGATTCATGATTCAATTAGTATTTCTTCAGTAGCTAATCATTGCAAATATTAATTAACTTGAGCAATTGAAGGCTGGTTAACAATTTAGATAATTGTCTCATGATGATTATTGAAACATTATTGTTACACTTAATTGTCATTATCAATGTCAAATTTAATAATGATATGATTAAGTCTCATGGTGAAACTGGGTGAGTATTAAAAATGACATGGATGACAGAACAAGAGAGAGAGAGAGAGAGAGAGAGAGAGAGAGAGAGAGATGATGATGGTGATGATGATGATGAAGATAAATGAAGATTTTGACGACAATGAAAAATCATTAATCAAGATGATCTAAGGCAGAAGTGGGAGAGGTCGAAGGGGAAGGAAGTTAAGGTGTCTAAAGTTTCATGATATTCTGAGTATTTTGTTCATAGTGATGAAATAAGATGATATCAACAATGTGATACACAGGTAAGGTTATTATTATCATCATTATCATCGTCATCAATTTCAAGGAAGAAGATGAAGTTAACTAAAACTTTTGTAAGCAAAAGTGTCAATTCATTGAGCTGAGAACACTTTTCTCTCTTTCTCTCTTTTTTTATCATTTCTTTTAAGGAAAGAAAAATAATCAACCATGAAAATTGTTTTCTTATACCTGATTTCCCCTGAACAGCAAATTAACCTTTATAAACGTTGAACTTGATCAAACTGTTTTGACAAAAAGAGTAACAGATATTAATATACCACAAAAATTGCCATGAAATTAGTTTATAAGATAATATTAATACCCATCAACTAGTGGGTGAGTCGTATTATATCAGCAAATGATTGATTACAGAATAAGTTTATCGAGACAATCCAGAGAGCTAAAAGGATGATTGAAAATATCATCATCATGGAAGACTATAAGTTCTACTCTGTTAAGGATATTCTTCTGTGGAATCATAATTCCAATAATATATTCTTTTTCATTAAGATGTTATCATGAGAGAATGGAGCTTTTCCTATGCAGGGAAGGAGAAATTTTTTCTAAGTTTGGAAACTTTTCATTCTGTTTTTATCTTCCATTTATTATCTTTGAGTTTATTTCATGATAATTTTCATGATAATTTTGAGCATTTTTTTCTTATTCAAACCAACTTTCATCATGGATCATTATCTTATTATTTGTAAGCTAATTGCATATAAATTGAATCATTTTACCAGAAAAATCATCACTCCCTTCAAATGAATCACTGTTTGTTTACCTGAACTTTTCAGTCTTATTGTGATAAATGTAATATATTAATAATCACCTTTTTGTTATTACAAATTATAAGATGATGATGATTAGGATGATAATTTTTTACAATTATTTTTACTCTGTAACATTTTTTACAACTTTTTTTGCTTATTCATTTTTACCTTTGATTTTATTAATATATACCATGTATTTCCAATGATACATGTACTTATAATTGTCTAACATTCATCTTGAAAGCTCTTGATTCTCTGAGAAAATTTTACTTTGATGATGCTGATGATAATTCTTTCTCTTCTTGATCTTCTCATGTTTCCTGTTCCTTTGCTATTTTTAACGATACTCTTGAGGATTCTGGTTTACAACTTTGATTTCATCTTCAACATTATCTTCATCCTCATCCATTCCATTCTCTATCTCTCTCTCTCTCTTTCTCTCTTTCTTTCCCATAAACACACCTACATCTCCCTCCTTTAGTCTGAAATCTCTCACCTTACATTCTGATATTATTATAACTATATATTTTTTTTATTCTTATACTTACCTTTCATTTTCTCTCTCACGAACTTTTATTATCATTTAACAGTTATTATCGAAAACAGTTTTGTTCTAGAATCCAGTTCGTAACTTTACTCGTTTACACATCGTTTTTTTATTGCTATTCAACTAATATCACAAAAGATATTATCATTATCATCATATTAAGCTACATTTAATGGTATTTGGGGAAAGAAGTGGGTGAAGAGAAAGTGATGATGATAAAGATGAAGAGCTGATGACGATGATGATGATGATGGAGGTGTAGAGGAAAATGAACAATATGATGATGAAAACTATTTTTCACCCTTCGTTTCATGTTATATTGCTTTTGAATGAGAAAAGGATGACGATCATTCTCATCATCATGCATCATCATCACATGGTCGATATATGATAATATTCATCAATAGAAAAGCAAGAATAATAGTGATGGAGTGGATAACAATTCTGTACAGAAATGAAAAAAGGATGAAGAGATCGTGGTGTTGTTTGAAGATGACGATGAAGATGCAAAGACGATCCTGATGATGATGATGATGTTAATTTTAATGTTGTTTTATTGTTGTAAATAGGAATCATTAACGAGGAGACTGAAAAAAAGTTAACCTTAGGTAAACTTTTCATCCAATTTGATATAAGCCTTCAAGGTTATGATAAAACTTTTGTTATCTGTAAACTTTCATTAGTTTGATATTTTTAATAACTATTAATATGTAGCATGAATGTTGATTCTGATGAATGATAATTATCATGAAAACAACAATTAACAGGTAACATCAACATCATACACTTTCTTCATGATGCTTTAATTATGTGATAAGATTTTTATTTTAAACTTAATTGTTATTCAAGTTTAATCTTAATAAAACACTCTAACTGTTTCCAGGCTCTAAACTTTTCACACTCTATTGGAAAACAAATTAGACTTGGAACTTTGTTTTTTTATCTTCATGATAAACTAAGTCAGAATTCATGGTATTAAATTTTCTATGAGATTTGATTAACCGGAAGCTTTAATGTTCTGAACACTTTTGCTTCTTCATTTTCTTTTCTTTTCACTTTGTGGTTAATGGAACAACGTTAAACAGTCTACATGGTGTTTTGAATTGAATTTGTAATGAAAAGTTTCTCCATCCTCCTGATACTTAATCTTTTTATCATGATCATCTATTGGAATGATTGAGTAATAGCATGGTGATTACATGATGATGATAATTCAAAGGGTTTTCATGTTTCCAGACAATTGAAAAGTAAACAAGGGAAGTTGTTGTCAGGATATAAAAAAGTAACTCGAAATGAATTGATGTTGAAATATATTCTACACTATCGAAATGGATTTTCTCATCTTAAATATTCAAGTTCAATATTATCCTAAAGTTTTACTTTTCTCTATTCTTATCTGAGATAATGTTCACGATGAATAAAATACTATTCAGATTATTATCATGCTGATGAAATGTAAAAATGTTCAAAGGGAAAAATAGTAAAGAAAGAATCAGAATTTCAAAATGGATAAGGAGAAAATTCTGAAACGATATAAACTTTCAGCAATGAATTAGAAGATGAAGATGAAGAAAAGAACAAAAAAAGTAGATATTAGGTAAACGAAGAGAGTGGAAGATGATGAAAAAGTTAGAGAATAAACAAACATTACCTTTTACTTTTACTCTTTCTCTCTCTCTTTTTTTACTCTTTTTATCTTTTTCTGATGATCTTCATGAAGATCATCATGAAATTTGTATAAGAATAGGCAGATAAAACTCTGAGTGAGAAAATTGAATGGAAATATTGTAAAGAGAGAAAAGAATGAGAAAAAAAGCCAGAATTGCAAGGAACTTAATTTTTTCTATGGTAATAATAATTCTTAAAATAATGATAATAATGAATTATCTCCATCATGTGAATGATACTAACCATGAATTCCATACAAAGTTCAGGTTAATCTCAAAAGGCTTTATGAGGTTAGTTAAATTGAGTTTCTTCGTTCTAATTTTTCTCCTGTTTATCATCTAATGTATCGAATCAATAATAATTTTCCCTCTTATTTTTTTCCTCTTCGTTCCGATATAACCATTAGATGCTTGACATCTTGAGAGTAGGAGTTGAATAAGATGGAAAATTAGTTCGATGGGTGGAAAAGGAAGAGGAAATTACAGAGAAAAAGATGGATAAGAGGTATTAAAGCTTATCCTTTCTCAATAAACTCTAATCTCATGTGAACATTTTCTTCTTCTTCTTCTGATTCAAGTGTGTAACACAATAACCTTGAGGGAACACCGGTAATTTGAGACTCTAGTTTTCTCAAATTGAAACTTTGTGTTACTTTTTCTCTACCTACTTCCATCTACTTTATCATATATTTGTCGCGATCAATTGTTATCGTTTTCACGATAATGTAAACTAACCTTATGAATTTACAATTCAGAACAAAATTCAGGGTAACATGGTTCCATTGTGAAAGAATTTCGATTTTCTCTCTTTTTCCAATAATAGTGATAATTGATAGGAATTTCTATCATTTATATATTTTCTTTTTCTTTCGTATTTTCCACTTCATTCATTGTACTATTTTCACCATTAGAATGAATTCTCATTCTATTGATAAGGACATTTATCATCTATTGTTGACCCTGGTTGTTGATAACAATTAAGATAAGAATCATCTTCATCATGATTATCTCTTGTTCTCAAGAATATTGGTCTTCACATTCATGTGATTTTCATTTCATTTTTCATCTTAGACTATCGATTCATGGTCATTGTCATTAGTTAAATACATTTATTGTCCATTCAGGTAAATAATTGATAAGAAATTATTTCATGTTGAACAGTTCAAAGAGTGTAAAAGGTCAGATTCTTATCCAAATTCAGGTGAAAACTCTTAATCATGAAGTTAAATAAAGATTTATCATTAATCACTAATGACTGAATGTGCAAGAGAAAACAAAAAACTCTCCACTTTAAATCGTTACTTTGATGATTGAGGTAAAAGCTGATTGCTGATTCTAATAATTAATTGCCTGAATCATAGGTAATCATTGATCACCTTTGTTTTCTTGTTTATTTCTCTCTGTCTCTCTCATGATTCAAGTATTCTGATGTATTCATGAAAGAGGCTTCTTTTGTCTCATTCAAGAATCCTTCAGATTTTCAACTCAATACTCTGAAAGTTTTGAGAAATTTTCTCACTTCATTTAACCTTTCATCTTTGTACCATGAAAAAGAAACATAAATTTCCAGAATCTGGCAAATTTTATGCTTGGCCAATTGAGAAAAATGTATTTCCTATCAGAATTAAACTCTATTCATGAATAAAAAGAAGAAGAGAAAGAAAAACTTTTAGATTAACTGTTGTCGAAAATGTTAATTCAATGAGCGTAAGAATCAACATGGAAAAAGAGCAAAAATTGAAGTTATTTGAAAATTTTATTCGTATTCATTTGCATACAAGAGAGATAAAAAAATTCTCTCGTTGTCTTTAATATCAAATCAGCTGATCGATTCATCATTGAATAGAAGACGTCAGTTTTACAAAACTTACGTTTACTCGAATCTTTATCATGACGCCAACTATTTATTGGAAATTTCATCTCACATGATTGTTACTTCCCTGGGAATTTATATATTAGAGTCAATCGATCAAACTGAACTGATTAAATGTAACAATCAATTCAAAGAGTTGAATTTCATTTTTCAGAACTATTATTCTATCACCTGAAAACCAGAATGAAATTTCTCTAGAAATTATTCACTTGCATCTATGGAATCAGATGGAAGATGTGTTGTCTATTCAATGAAAGAGTAAAGGTAAAGAATCAATACAATTTATCAATCGCTCTAAGGAATTATTCCTTTCAGATTCCAATTTGTCTTCATGAATTCTCAATGAACGTTCTCATATGTTCAGGTGAGGAAAGGAAAAGCCAAAGTGAGATTTAACTAGCCTGTGGAATCTTATCTGAATCTCTCAACTATTTACATGAATCGATTCCATCACAAATAGTGTGACGAGAATCAATATTTATTTCACAATATTATATGACAATTACATAATCATTAGAATGATTCTTTCCTGACAAGATTATTCACAAAATTTTCATTTCTAAATTTCTATTGTTCACTTTGGATTATTAATATGTTCGAGAAGTTCAAGTTTCAAAGTAGTTCGATTCTCATTGTCAATGTACAAATGTCTCTCAGTTTGGAAAAATTTTCTCATGAGATCTTTTTTCTCACTTGTTTCATGTACACCGATAAATCCCATAAATTTCAATATCTCCAGGCTATTATCTTGTTAACACCATCAAACAAAATATTCCATGATAAATTTATCAATAGGATGACCACTGAATTTTGGATAATGATCATCACCAATATCCAGTGATAAATAATAATAATGATATCGATATAATGAGAAAGACAACTTGTTCAATTCAGCACAATTTTCACACCCAAATTCAGCCTCAAGGTATCTGAAAATTTTATCATTTCTAATCAAAATGATTGATTATCAATACGCAACATGGACTTTTTTCAAGATAATGAGATGAAAATCAATGGGAATCAACAATACCTTGTGTGAGTATTCACAATTGAATCCACGTTTTCATATTTCGATTCAAGTTTCATGTTGAAGCTTTTCCATTTCATGGATAAAGAAAAGAATCAGATAAACACAGGATAAGAGAGAGAGAGAGAGAGAGAGTGTTATTTGTTGGTTAAATTCAATAGCTGAATATCAGTTTCAACAATTCAATAATAATTTACTTGATGTACAGTGTAAATAAAAATTCCAAACTCGGTTTCATTGGAATTGTCATCAGAACATATTGTTGAAATTTCATCTTTACTTTAAACTGAATCAAACCTTACGATTTCTTTTCCATCTTGAAACTTGATGGGTAACATTTTACTCTGGAAGAAAGAAAAAGTTGACTATCTCATGGAAATTGAGAAAAATTCAATAATGTGTATTGGTGAGATAAGTTACAATTTCCATGGTGTTTACTTTTCCAAGGGAGATGAACTTATATTCTAGAATCAAGATTCAATATTATCCTTTTCTCATCATCATCATCAAAGTAAACTCAAAGTGCATGAGGTGAAGAGATTGGATGAACAAGAATGAGTGAAAATTTTTGTTCCATCCAATTCATTGATGATCAGAGACCAATGGACATTGATCTTGTTTCATGGATAAAACCATTTCTCTTCATGGTTATTAATTTTTATATGGAACGAACTTCCTATCCAATGTAACGTTTTCACTCTCACTTGGTTACTCATCGATTCAATGAGTTAACGTTTTTTTCCCCCGGTAAAAAAATGATTATCAATTATTTCATGTGATTATTTGGAATATGAACAAAAAATCCAAAAACTCACTTGTACAAGAATCTGTGGTCAATAATTTTGACATCTTTTCCGGCTTCAGGGAATGAATAATTATCCAGAATAGTTATTATTGGATCGTTAGTTAATCGTGTTGATGAATCACTATCTTCAATGATAATGGTTGGTATGGTTGTCGGTGTTGTTGGCTCTGTTGTTGGTCTTACAGGTAAAGTAATTGTTGATCTGGAGGTTAATCCAGTTGAGTTAATCGTTTTCACTGTTGATGTGGTTGTGGTTATTGTTGTTGCTGTTGGATTCGGTGGGGGTGATGATGAGGGTGTTATAATAACTCTCCCTTTACTATTGCTCCCATGAGAACCAGAACTTCTTCCTAATCCTCGGCTGATGGGTAATGAACTTGACCCTGAACTTGAAACTGAGCTAACGATAACTTTACGATTACGCCGAACACTTGGTTGTCTATTATGGCCACTTGATGATCCTGACATGATGACGATTATCCCTTAGGTTATTTTAACTTGATTTCGTTATCCAACAGTTTGTGTCTGTTGAATTTTAAAATTTGTTAATTACAAATACACAGAAGAAAAGATAATCATCAAGTGAATTGAAAAACAAATTTACATCCAGTCTTTTGATTTAACATTTAAATTCTCAATTCATTTGAATAAATTTGATAATCAGATGAACAAACCACAATTAAAGGAAAACAAATCATTTTACTGAATAAAAAACACAATTAAATTTGTTCTTGAGTTAAATTGTAGTAGAAAGTAAGAGTTACTCAAATGGAAACAAGAAAATTAATGTCAAAACAATGAACAAAATTGGAAAAAATGACAGTACAAATTTAATTTCGAATGATTTTTATCACAATTGACATTGATTTGTAACAATTTAACATACTTTTTTCTATTGTCTGATATATCATCATCATCACATGTAACTGTTCAATTCAAACCAATAAATGTCTCAAGAGCCACAGCAAAAGATTCAAATTGTTACCTGGACTACCAATTGATTGTTATGGTGAGTAGTGAGCTCTATGGGTTTAGATTATAACTAAATTCAAACAATCAAGAAAATCAAGTCTACTTAACTGAAAATCATCATCTGAGAGCATTGGGGAAAGGATTCTCTTGGAAACGATTGAACTAGTCTATTACTAATAATAAAATGAACTAAATACTAAACCATCATGAATTATATCGTAAAGTGCCAAATCTTAGGATATTGGCCTGTGGAGGTGATGGAACCGCTGGTTGGATACTCTCGGTTCTTGATGATATTGGATTTAAACCTTCACCTCCGATTGCTGTACTTCCCCTTGGAACTGGTAATGATCTTGCTCGAGCACTTGGTTGGGGTGGAGGTTATACCGATGAACCAGTTTCCAAGATATTACTTAACATTAAAGATGGTGAAGTTGTGCAACTTGACCGTTGGGATGTTAAGGTTACTCGTAACACTGAATTAAACCTAATTGAACGAGCTTCAGATACGCCTGAGGGTGGTAAAGAATATGTGAGATATGTGCCTCTTAATGTGATTAATAATTATTTTTCCATTGGTGTTGATGCTCATATTGCCCTTGAATTTCATGAAGCTCGTGAAGCTCATCCAGAGCGTTTCAATTCTCGCCTTCGGAATAAAATATTTTACGGTCAAGCGGGTGGTAAAGATTTACTCCAACGTAAATGGAAAGATCTGGCCACTTATATTACCGTTGAATGTGATGGTGTTGACCATACGCAACGATTAAGAGACCTGAAAGTCCATTCACTTTTACTTCTCAATATCCCCTGTTACGGAGGTGGTACTCGAACCTGAGGCAGTGCATCGCCCTCCTTTGAACTACAAAGAACCAGATGATCAACTGATTGAAGTAATTGGCCTTACAACCTATCAACTGATGAGAATCTACCGACAAAAGTCATTGATCGGAATGTAAATAAACCTCAATCTTGATGATAACTTTTTCTTTTAACCACTTTGTAGCCTCTTCTTCAAGCTGGTGGCCATGGATCGTGTGTAGCTCAATGTAAAGAGGCCAAAATAGTTATACGACGAACGGTTCCTATGCAAGTAGATGGTGAACCCTGTCAATTATTACCTTCCGTCATTAGGAATAAGGTCAAAAATCAAGCAAATATGATTGCCAAATCTAAATCTCATTCGCAGATCATTTCAATGTGAGAATCATTTTCGATCGAGTTTTTTCCTTCTTTACATATCGATAATGTTGTATTGACTTTTTTGCTTTTTCGATATCAACTTTTCAGGCCAACTTTGGATCGAGAGATAATCGTTGATGTAAGCAAGTTAAATTTAACCGATTATGAAACTTTCCATTATGATAAAGACAGACTTCGAGATGCATGTAAGTATTGTATTGATTTTTGAACAATTAGAAACTTTTCTAGTTCGATGAATTAACTCTTCTTGGAAAACTTTATTCTAACTTTAGCAATACCTCTTGGTAAACTTAATATTAATCCCGATCTCGAATTGAATCATGTTTGTGTTTTAATCATTCAAATGGTCCAAGCTCAACGAAAAGGATCAACGGCCAGTCAAAAGATGAATGAAACACCAGATTCAGAAGTGAAAAGATACCGAATGGAAAGAGCCTTTGAACTGTCAACTGATTGGTGTTTCGTTGATTGTAAGTCCATCAGAATTAATCATCGAAATCAATAATCAAGTTTTCCTAATTGAAATTTTATCGAAAACAAAATTGTCTCTCCAACTTTTAGCTTGTACTGCTGAACGATTTTTTCGCATCGATCGAGCCCAAGAGCATTTACATTATGTGGTAGATATTTGTAATGATCTTTTTCATTCTTGATCCCGCTGATGACAATTATCGTGATGACAAGTACACAAGTGTACCAACCTACGTGGGCACAATAGTCCAGCGAGCGGTGGCGAGGGAGGTGATGAGACACCCTTACCAATAGATCAAAGCCAATTGGGTGATAACAATAATACAATTGTACTTTTCAAACCGCCAAACGCGGGTAAAGAAACGGGTGATCTAAATACACCATCAGATACAATTCAATCAACACTGTCACCTTCACAATCCTCGTCGTCACCAACATCATCATCAACACAACCACAACCACCATCAACAACCACAACAACAACAACCACCAGTGCTCTTAAAAATGAATCAAACGGAACTGATGGTAACGGCCATAATGCCAAAGATTTGGCTCTACTTGGAGGTGATCAAGATCTTGCTACTTATTTAGATCGTAAGTATCAATTATTGTAATTGTTTTCGAAGCAAAAATCTAAAAAAGATAATCAATAAATTGATTAGCTGATTAATTGTCATTACAATCAAATCTTGTTTTCTAAAACTCCAACATTTAAATTGATTTACTTTCTGTTGGCCGTCAGAGTTTCATTTGATTGAGTGGTGATAACTTAGTCAATCTATTCAAATTTATCGATTATCTTACCTCAGATTAACAATTACTAATTGTCAATTAGCTTTACATTAATTGAATTGATGGTATTGTTAACTGTGTATTGTTACAATTAATGAGCTTAATTTTGACACTGTTTGCTTTAATTTGCTATTTATTTTTTTTACACATAGCTTTGCATGAAAATTTTAACAAACTCATAAGAAGAGGATTAAGACGATGGTTTTAATCAACTGATTGAAACAGCTTAACTATTTGGTGTTTAATCACAGAGAGAAATTGAATTTCCACATATCCTAACGTCACATACAATTTTCTAAATTCAATCAATTGATAATATTCACTATTATCGTTATTATTATATAAATGTACTAATTTTATATTTATTTACAATTGTCACAATTAACTAACGTCAATGGTTTGATGACAGTAAATTTAGTGCGAATTAAAGATGATAAAAAGTTGAGATTTTTTGCTGCGTAACTCTGCACAACAAGCTCTTATTCTGCTTAATATGAAATGAGAAAAATTGAAATAGAGACAATCATTACCCAAAAAATAGAAATTGTTTAGATTTCATATACACCATGATCAGTGATGACGTGCACACGTTTAATTGCTAATAAATTTTAATAAAAATTCATATCAATATACGGATTACACCAAAATAAAGTTCATTTCATTACATTCATTTTCAAAGTCAAATGATAATATGTTCGAAATGGTCACATGCCGCCTGAACAATAGAGGGAAGTCGTTTCTAAAAGTTACCAATTCCGGATACTAAAGTCGAAGTCGAAGTCTCAATTGTCTCTATCGACTCCTTCACCGCGGAAATCAATTCTGTCATCAAATTTGGGTTTCGATGATATACCTGGTCCTTGAGGCAACCCCAGAGAAAAAAACTCACAGATTCAGGTCAGGGCTATAGGGTGGCCAGTCGATTCTACCAGGATAGTGCTTATTAAAGTGCAAAGCGAGTACACGATCATCAAAAGCTGAATTTATTGTTTCAAATGACTCACAAATTTGATGAGCTGTTGCTCCATCTTGCATGAAAAATACGTAATCATGTCATGCGCAAATGATAAAAACTTAGTTTTCAACAATTTGTTATACTCATCGGATATTACCGTTTGTCAAAAAAGGCTTCAGTTGTGCAATCTTATTTGATTTCCAACCAAACACTTACCTTCTTTGGTGGAGAGGCTGTTCAATGACGAAATGAGGGTTCTCTGTCCCCCAGACTCGATAATTCTGTTAGTTAACGAATCCATGTAACCAGAAGTGACACTCATCAGTAAACCAAATTTTGTCTATATCAAGTTAAGAATCAGCAACCAAAGTCAGAACGCTCGTAGCGAACTCAACGTCGCGCACAAGAGCATTTATATTATGTGGTCGATATTTGTAATTAATGTCTTAATAATGAGTTTTCATTATTAAGATTTTTCTATTATTCAATACAATGTACAGATAATCAATCATCTAAAAGTAAGAGACCTAGACGTAGTGGTGTTAAATATGTACATGGGTAATGATTTGTATTTTATAGAAAATACAGGTTAACTAATCCAATTCCGAAGAAAATGATTGGCTGGCTCAACTATGGAGGGACTTAGGCTCATACCATTAGCAATCACGCTTTATTTGGTCCAGATTTATCATGATAATAATTAACTATTGATTTAAATCTCTAAAAAGTTCTCATTTTCATATTAATTTCGATTCTTTCTAAATTTCTAGGTTCTAAAATTTCTGTTCATGACACATGGCATTTTCATCTAATAAATAATAATCCCGTCCATCAGAACCTATTGTTATCCCAAAAGATGGATGAACAATTCCTCAATTTTTTTCTTCTGATTAACAAATTTCTTTTTGGTTTATGACTTGGGATAGTAATGTTGCAGAGGTCACACAAAATCATCATTCAGTTTGAGGATATTTCAAGGCAGGTATCGTTGTAGATCATAAAAAACATAAATTGGCTAAGGACAAACTTGAATAAGCTACGCCTCAAATCAAACAATGCGCGGTGAGTGGTTGAAATCCAACATTGATTTAAAGGTCAAAGATGCTATAGAACACACGATCTTGAAAGTTTTTTCTAATTAAAGTTTTATTTAAAACGCAGGTTATTTGAAACGTAACGTATTTGTAAACGTTGATCAAAGGCAAATGTACTGTCCTTGTATCCTTATATGGTTATCGGTTATTAGCGTTGATTATGGTTAACCAAACGTAGTGAATTTTATCATTCAAGATGAATAAGTTAATTCTGTTAATTATTTCATTTACAGAGAAAACCGAAACAAGGAGTTAATTGTTGAATACTTTCACCAACTTGATTGATTTCAGTAGTTTTGCTCAATAAGCAAATAATAAATAATAATAAAAAATCTACTAAACAAAATTACAACATTCATCGTTCACCTGTTTTCACGAATCGTATTCTAATCAATGGAGCTCACGATGAGGAAAAGGCTGTAGATTGAATCAACTTCACACAACAAATCAGGCCAAATTAACGGTAAAAGTCTCTTTTTCTTTCTAAATCGCCAAATTTAAGTGAAATTTCTCATTCTATCTCCATTTCCCAGAAATTAATTCATCGTCTCAGTGAAGAGACGAATTGTTAACTTCTTATTCCATTTTCATTTCCGAAAATTAAATAATTGTCTCAGTGAAGAGATAATCGTTGACTTTCATTTCTATTTACATGATAGTGCGAGGAAATGGTACGAATACAGCTCAGGGCGATTCGGATCAAGTCAAAAACCCTCTGATTATTCCAAACTTAAAACTAAGTTCATTCAAGGCCTCTGCTTGGTAGACTATAGAACTCATCTCTCAGCGATTATCTAAATTACGACAGAAGCCAGACAATTAACTGAGAAAGTGAATAAGATTTCGGACGATGAACGCTAGGGAAATTTGCAACAACTGTAAGAAAAGAAACTACAATGAGCGAGATTGTAGAAAGAAGGCTAGAGATCAAGAAGCACTTTTTTAACACCAAACCAGTCAGAGTCAGCCAATTTTCACCAATCTATAACCAATCTCTGTTCAGTCGATTCAAAGTCAAAATCTGAATCAAAAATATCAAAGAATCAGTCAATAAACCAATTAAAATCAACACAACTAAAATAACAATCAATATAACCAGACCAATCACCAATAAAGTAAACCAGAAACCACAGAAAATTGAAGAAACCGAGACGTAGCAAACAAAACCACTTCCCGGGATATTAAGAATACGATAAAACCACCGATGAGTCGAACTTTTTTCAAAACAATAACCACATACTAATACGAGAATAATAACGAAGAATAAGAAGAACCAAAAGTTCACCTAATCTGTGCAATCAACTCGTAAAATCTGGTTGCGAACAGGTTAAAATTCACAATTTTAAAATTGCAGCAGTGCTAGACACAGGGTCAGAGATAACTCTAATCACAGAGAGACTTGCGAAACAATTACGACTAAATCAAGAAATTTACAATGGTTCAACTCCATTCGCAGCGAACGGAAAACCATTAAAAGTGTAACGTAAGCCTTACTCCATGTAGCTTCAAGAAAAGAACAGACAAAATCAAGTCAGCGAGAATTCAAATAGATCAGGTTTTCTGGAGAACACCAGGACCAATACCTTCTCAATCCTTGTTAGATCAAATGCAGTCCATTCGCCATCCCGCTAAACCAACATTTGCTGTTGATACAGAAGGAATTTCCGCCGAAAAATTAGCTCTCTTTTCTCTCCTCTCTTTCTCTCTTTTCTCTCCTCTCTTTCTCTCTCATCAGTTTCTTTCTGAAATGCGCGCTGTAAAAAAAAGCTCAACTACGCATGCGTACATAAAAATCATTGAGTCAGAATTTCTCATGAACGGCTACTCAGATTTTGTTCGTACTATTTTTCGTTTTGTAGGATTTTTGGCTGAATTTCTTTATGCTTTAACCTCTTATAGGATCTTTGTAGCTTGAGCGTAATCTTCACCAAAATTTCAACAAATCTAATTCAAGTATGTAGATCAAGTTTTAGTGGAAAACCATTCGCTAACTCTTCAATTGGTGCCCTACCGAGTGAGGCCTGGAAATTCAGATGATCAAGTAAATAATCCTGAATTTCACCTAAGACAAACTCATTTCCCTCATTAACTACTTTTTTGGCCTCTGTTCACCGTTATCATTGTTTCCCAGGTCTTCGTTGATTGAATTGGATTTTTTGACCTCTGTTTGCCGTTTATCGTGCCGCCGCTGCCGTGCCATTACTCTTTTGACCTCCGCTGCCTTCAATCGTGCCTACATTATCGGTCAGTTAAAAATTTCGGTAAGACTTGAGATTAGGTCCGCACGTTTAGAGATCTGAAATTTTTTGACTGAGATAACTTTTACATTATTGTGTGACCTTGACTTGATCTTCAACTAAATTTAGTACTTCTATGTGTAGTGGTTCATTAATTATAGTAAAAGACGAATAAAGTCTCATAAAGAACACACTATAAGTACTCACCCGTGGTAGCTAGAGTCTTAATTTTTTTCTTGTAAATACTCCATACCATAAGGTATAACATATAGATAGACATTAGTATGTATATACGAAAACTTCATTTTTACCCATAGAGCTTTATGGCAAAATCCAACTTTGAAGCCCTGTATCTCAGGAACTAGATCTTTCCTCAATTCCACACTCGCACGTAATATGTAGTTTGACATAAGCTATATGTACAAAAAATTTCAGTTCTCTAAACGTGCGGACCTAATCCGAAGTCCAGCCAAAATTTCATTCAAATTTATACGATTAGAGATTCAGTGTTGAACTCTAAGACTCTTTCAGATTCTTACGATCTTGTTAGCACTTATTGCTGCAATCATTATTCTTTACGCTATTTTCTATTATTTTGGTATTTAAAATTTAAAAGTTATCATGGAAGCAAATCAATTTACTCAATTTTCTACTGACCAGAATATTTTGATCTGGGTCAGTGACTTTGAATCATTTTGCGATTATCATCAATATTCTTATGATATAATAAATCAATGTTTAGAAAATTTCAGACTTTTGAAATGAATTACTTTAAGTTTAAACTGTTAATCCTTTCAAACCAAAGGTTAGAGATAGAATAATCATTATGTATTAGATACATTGTATATATTAGATACACTTTATGTTCTTTTGAGCATCATCATGATCATCATTATCTTCATTATCATCATTACACGAAAGTGATCAACTTAAATTAATTACCAGACTGTGACCTGGCCATGGTCACCTATGGTCACAGCCTGGTTAGTAATTATTTTATTACACGACTCTCCGCTCAAAGGCAAAAGGTCCCTCTTTTGACAACAATAATGCTTTACAAGTTTAATGATTAATAGTTAATGCTAACAATATACACTGCCAGTCAATATTTTTCGTTGTAACAATTATATTTAATTGTGGTACTAATACCTGACCAAATTGGATCAAATTTTTATAATTTATTCTTAACTACTATAGCAATCATCTGGGCAAAATTTGTAAAATTTAGAATAGCTTAAGTTGGTTAAATTAGTGCCGATTGATTAAAAAACCCAAATAAACGGTTCAAAATTTTTCGTTGGTCCTCCGTTTTCATTGATAGAGATATTTTTTAGATTTTATTGTTGACAAATTATATTGTCTAGATCACAACGATCAATTTGAGAGATTTTTTCATTGAAATCGGATGAGAAATAAAAAAGTTATATCAGATCGAATTTAACATGGGGGTCTATGGAAAATGACGAGTTTTGGCCTGTTAATCTTAGACTATTAGGGTCAGTGCCATGAAAACTTGACAACTCGTAGTTCAACTAATTTTTTATAAGAAATTGAGACTAGAATGATGATTGTGCGTCTATTACTTTTCGATTATTTATTTTCAATAGGAAGTTCAACTAATATTTAATTTTCAATGTAAATTCTATTATATGAACAATTTTTGATTATTGTCTGTTTTAGACCTGAAAAACAAAAATAGACGCAATCATCATTCTAGTCTCAATTTCTTATAATAAATTAGTTGAACTACGAGTTGTCAAGTTTCTGGCAACTGACCCAATAGTCTAAGATTAACAGGCCAAAACTCGTCATTTTTATAGACCCCATGAAATCGATCTGATATAACTTTTATTTCTCATCCGATTTCAATGAAAAATCTCTCAAATTGATCGTTGTGATCTAGACAATATAATTTGTCAACAATAAAATCTAAAAATATCTCTATCAATGAAAACGGAGGACCAACGAAAATTTTGAACCGTTTATTGGGTTTTTAATCAATCGGCACTAATTTAACTAACTTAATATTCTAAATTTTACAAATTTTGCCCAGATGATTGCTATAGTAGTTAAGAATAAATTATAAAAATGATCCAATTTTGTCAGTATTAGTACCACAATTAAATATAATTGTTACAACGAAAAATATTGACTGGCAGTGTAATGGTGCATCAAAGTTTAAAATGTGCAAGCAATTTGACAATAATAGAATTAAGGGAAAATAAAGCATCAATTCCAAAATTCTGAAGCCCAATTGGAATTGCTTCCCGTCTTGACTTAGGCCAAGTTAAAAGTGATACAACTTGATCATTCCAACGAGGTGCAGTCGGTTGAATATTGATTGGGGTTAAGATCGAAGTAGGTCGACTTCTGAACGTAACCATACGTTTCGCGCATTGACAACCAACACAGAAACAGGTAAGCATTGAAAACGCAATGACTTTTG